AAACCCCAAAACCCCAAAACCCCAAAACCCCAAAACCCCAAAACCCCATAAAAATCAGACTAAGTTGAAAGAATAAATTAATGAAATATATACTTATTGCCATCCTATTGTTGACTGTTGTTACAGCAAGGTTACACTTGACTGAGACACAGGAGAAAAGACTCAATGAATTGGACCCCAATCCGAACCACCAGTGGTACACTCAAAGAGTTGATCACCATAATCCTCAGTTAAAGGAGACCTTCCAGCAAAGATACTTTGATAATGATAAATACTGGGACTCAGAGACTGGACCACTCTTCCTCTACATCTGTGGAGAAGCAATCTGTAGGGAACCTGCAGATAACAGCTTTGTAGTCAACTTAGCTAAAAAATTCAACGGAAGAGTCCTTGCTCTTGAGCATAGATTCTATGGGATGAGTCATCCAAGACCAGATTGGTCCACAGAGAATCTCCAATTTTTGACTCCTGACCAAGCCCTCGCCGATCTTGCCCAATTTGCTAGTGATAAATCTAGAGAGTTCAGCGCTGAGCATGGCATTCCATTCAGAAGATGGATAACTGTAGGAGGAAGCTACCCAGGAGCATTGTCAGCTTGGTTCAGAGCTAAATATCCACATATTGCCTTTGCATCCCTCTCCTCCTCAGGAATTGTCAACACAATCACTGACTACGACGAATATGATGGCCAAGTTTATGCCTCAAGCTTAAAAAGTGGTGAGGAATGCACAGATAAATGGAGGAGTATCTTTAGCTCCTTTGAGGATAAGATCAACAGTGGACTCGCCTCAGACGTCTACGAATTCTTTGGATATTTTGGAAATGACCTCACTGTTGGAGACTTCTTCAACTTTCTTGCTGATATCTCGGCTGGATCTGTACAATATGGAAAAAGATCAAAGTTCTGTGATGGTCTGATCAATACCGAATTTAAAGAACAAGATCTACTAAATTGGACACTTGAGTACTCAAAAGAAGAAGGGCTTGACTTAAACGAATACACTGTTCCATACTTCGCAAACACTACTATTGATTACATCAAAGCTGGAAGACAATGGTCTTACCAAATCTGTGCACATATCGGATTTTTCCAGACTCCTGCTAAATCTGTAAGTCTTCATTTTACATTTTCTAACTAAAATAGGTCCCTTCAATGAGAAGCCAGACTATTGCTATTGATTATTGGAGAGATCTGTGTCAAGGTATCTTCGGGATAGATCTATTCCCAGACACCGATCATTGGAATAAACTATTTGGAGGTAAAGAGATCACAGGCTCTAAGATAATCTTTACTAACGGTGGGGAAGACCCATGGCAACATTCCAGCATTATGGAGTCTGAAAACCCAACCTTCCACCCTATCGTAATTGATTGCGATAACTGTGCCCACTGTGTTGATCTTCATGGTGACTTCCCTGACGATGCTCCTGAGCTCACTGCTGCTAGAGACCAGATCAAGGGAATCTTCCAAGACTGGATCTCGGAAGAGTTAAATTTGGAGAGAATCTATCCATCAGAAGTCAAGGTAGGATTAAGAGAATTTTTATCTTAATCTTATCTGTAATTTATTAAGCTCCAATTTTTGCCAGTTATATAGGGGTTTTGGGGTTTTGGGGTTTTGGGG